CCTGGAGTCCCGGGATCGAGTCCCACGTCGGGCTCACTGCATGGAGCCTGCTTCTCCCTCTGCCTTCTCCCTCTGCCTCTCTGCCTCTCATGAATAAATAAAATCTTAAAAAAAAATTTTTTTTTAAAGGAGAAAAAGCACTTCTTCACCAGATGGGGAAATAGTATAATAAAATCCAATTGCCAACCTCAATGAAAACTCTTAAACTAGCAATAGAATTTCTTAATCTGTTTGGAAAATCAGAAACACAAACATTATACTAAAATCTGAGAAGCAAAAAAAAAAAAAAACAAAAAAAAAAGAAAAAAAAAAAATCTGAGAAGCATTTCCACTAAAGCAGAAGAAAAAACTAGGATATCCACTCTCACTATCATTGGAAGTCCGAACTCAAGACACAGAGACAGAACTTGGAAAAGAACACAAAACTGTCACTTTTGCCTTCACTGGAGATTATAACCGCTTTCACAGTATTGCATTCATTGATTTACTTCCTTTTTAAATTTTTTAAAAAAGTTTTTTACTTAAGTAATCTCTATACTCCATGTGGGACTCAAACTCGTGACCCCAAGATCAAGAGCCACACAACGTCTCTGACTGAGCCAGGCAGATGCCCCACTTTTTTTAATTAAAAAAAAAAAAATTAAGCTCTACACCCAACATAGGGCTCAAATTCACAACCCCGAGATTAAGAGTCGCATGCTCTACCAACTGAGCCAGCCAGGTGCCCTATCATTGATTCACTTCCAAGTGAATCTACAAACTATGGGAGCTAAAAGATAGCCAAGACGTTAGATAAAAAAAAAAAAAAAAAAAATCAATAGACCAAAATCAGCATTTCTATACATCAGCAATGAATTTGAAAATGTAATTTTAAAAAGGATGCCACTCACAACAACTAAAAAGTATCTGGAAATATAAATATGAAAAACAAGGTGAAAGACTATTACTGAGAAAACAATAAAACATTGATGAAAGACACTTAAGACATAAATTAACAGAAAGATGGATCCTAACAGTGCAAAGATTTTAGGAGCGTAGGGTCACAGGGAAAGATAGTAGTTGAGCCATTAAGAGTAGTTGGGAAGGCAAAAAAGAGGAAAACCACATGGGAAGGTCTGCAGGCAGCAAGGTCCACAGGTGGTCCAGGTCGGTAAGCTAGCATAATCATTCTAAAACAGAGATACGTTGAAGGGCAGCAGGAAGGGAAAGTGGAGTCAGATGAGCAAATCTTCAAAAACCAAGTTGCAAGTGGTTACTAGGTGATGTGCAGGGTCATAAAGACCACTGACAGTTTCTGAGCATAGGAGTGAAATAATGCCTCTGGTAGTTCGAGAGAGGACAGACCACCAAGGGCTCAAGGGAAACAATGAACTGGAGACAACAGCCTTACTGATCAGACTGGATCGGGAGTGCCATGTTTCAAAAAGGGGGGGGGGGGAGAATCGAAAAACTAGAATATTCAGGGACGGCTAACCAGCATGAACTTGAAGCCATAAACAATGGATGGAAGAATGAGAGATGCTTAGTCTAAAGAAAAGACTGGTGGGGTCAAGGGGATAGAGAGAGGTACAAAGGTAATGCTTCTCAAAAATGTAAAGGGTTGTCATGTGGATTAGAACTGCTCTTTAGCACCAAGAATTAGTCAGGGAGACACTGATCAAAAATGATAGACATCATCCGTGATGGAGATGAGCCTATTTTAACGGGAAGGGACAAAACATAAACCAGATGCCCCCCTCCCCAAGTAGTGGAAACTGATGTGTCAGCATGTTAGCTGGACTGCAGAACCCCATACAACTCTTCCAACTCAAAACCCACATTCCTACAACCAGCTAGGTTGGTGTAGCAAGGGCAAGGATGGAGTAAAGAGACTATGAACCTGGCAGTGGGAACATAAAGATGGAACTTTCCTAAGGTAATGAAGACCCGATGGCTTAAAACGATAGCTAATATTTACGGAGTACTGTGTGCAAAGTCACGTTCTAACTCTTTTTCAAGAATTAACTCAGGGTCTTCACAGTCTCATAAGCAGGTATTGTTATTGCCCAGTTTATGTTGGGGAAACTGAGGCACAGAGCAGTTAAGTAAGTTGCCCAAGAGTACAGAGGGAAATCTATGTGTTGGGCATAGCAGCTAAATGCTATGGAGAACGAAAGGGAGAAATAAATCAGAGATCATGTCAGTATTTCAAATTTGAGAAAGCCGGGGCTAGAGAAGACAGAAAGCAGTTAATTGTGAGGCGTGTGCTACAGGGTGGGGAATAGGGAAGGTAATGGGTCCAGATGTGTTGGATCTGGAACAGACGGGGTGACAAGAGAGTTCAGCAAACAGCTGATGACAGCAAACTGGAACTCAGAGACAAGGATGCAAGGTGGTCTTGGCAGCAGCAAGGAGAAGGTGACAGCATGACAAGGAACACAGTCCCTGAGGGCAGGTTTGAAGAGAAGATCAGAGTCAAGGACTAGGCCTTGAGAAACATCTAGAAACCCACTGAAGGAAAAAGGCAGCCAGCACGGGCAGGCGAGATTAGATAGGGCCATCTCCCAGCTGCTGCACCAAGATACTGACCCCCTCAGCTCCTGAGGGGCCAGCACTCCTAGCCCGTCACCTTCACTCCGCAGGTTCTTCCATGAAAGTAAAGCCGTGCGTATCATAATGTTAAAGAATGTCAGAAGATACTGAGACGAGAAGGATCCAAAAGCTGAGGGAGTGGGGAACTGAGGCAGAGGTGATTAGGAGTACCAAGCGCTGCCAATAGGTCACAAGAGCAATACTTGGCCCTCGCGACACTACAACAGGCAGTGGACAAGCAGCTCCCAGCGGCGCCGGTCCTCCCTGTCAGGTTTCCCTCAAAAACTTCCCAAGTTTCCTTATGACAACTGTAGCCAAACCTTAAGGAAGCTACTGCAGCAAAAGGAAAGGGCAACAGGACCACGGGAACAAGGTTTTGAGACTGGAATGATGGGCGAGTATTTGAATCCACGGAGGAAGGAAGGAAGGAAGGAAGGCAGAGAGAAGTCCCCTACTCGGGTGCAGTGGTTTTCCAACAGTGTTCCAGGAAGTGACAAGTGTAGGAAGCGTCCTGGAGGGTTCCAAAATGTGGGTGGAGAGGGCACATGTTTACCTCGTAACCATTTTTGTCACTTTCCAAACTTGTCCCACCACCTACCTTTCTGAGGGTAAATGAATCCCCATTTTAGAGAAAAAACTGTATCAGAGTTCAGCTGCTATCTTGTAAAAGAGACACTGAGCAACGTCTGAGTCCTTACTAGGTGTCACTGTTCTCTAAGTACCTTCACGTAATAACTCAATTTCAATCCTCCCAACTCCGAGGCCTGTAGGTTCCCATTTTCCTATGTGGAAACTGAAGCACACGGAATTTAAGTGGCCTACTCAAGTTCCCAGTTCTTAAAAACAAGGGAGCTGGGGTTGGAACCCAGGCGGCGACCTCTTCAGCACTAGGACAGGATGGCTGGTCCCAGGTCAAAAGCTCGAGGGCAACACAGGGACCACCTTCAACTCATTGTTTCATTAATCAAATGGCTAAAACAAGAGAAAGGGTTAGCCCAACATCCAACAGAGGGGGAATTGAGGTGGAAAAGAATACCATTCACATCTTTTCAACAGATGCAGTGAGGAGATGGGGGCGACAAGAGAACACTCATGTTCCAGTGACTTCTGAGCTAAGAATTTAATGAATGGCTGCAGCATTTTTCCTTACACGCTGAAAATTCTGTATTTTCAAATCAGGTACATGCATATTTATACGTAGCAAAAGTTCATTCCAAAACCCAAGAAATTCACTCTGCAAAACACATATAAAGTGTCATTCATCCACGTCCTCCCAGTCTGCCAAGGAGCTACAGCCACAGTGGGCTCGATGCTACCGTCCTACGCTTTGGGGCTGACGCAACTTTTAACCTGCGTGTTTCCTACAAAAGACAATAATTACTTCTACTGACTGCTAAGCTAACACCTAGTCAGGACGCTGGAGACGCTTCCAGAGGCAAAAGAACTGCCCCGTCTTAGCTGGGCAATTGATGTCAAGGATACCTCGTTATGGGGCAGGATCTTAAAAATCAATTACAACTGGGCAACCCTGGTGGCTCATCGGTTGAGCATCTGCCTTTGGCCCAGGGTGTGATCCTGGAGACCCGGGATCGAGTCCCACGTCAGGCTCCCTGCGTGGAGCCTGCTTCTCCCTCTGCCTGTGTCTCTGCCTCTCTCTCCCTGTCTCTCATGAATAAATAAAATCTTTAAAAAAAAAAAAAAAGGAGAAAAAGAGGATTGTTAAGAGTGCCCCCTCTGTCTTTTTTTTTTTTTTAAGGTGGTAATTGATTTTTTTTTAAGATTTTATTTATTCATGAAAGACACGGGAGGGAGAGAGAGAGAGGCAGAGACACAGGCAGACGGGGAAGCAGGCTCCACGCAGGGAGCCCGATGCGGGCCTCGATCCGGGGTCCCCAGGATCACGCCCTGGGCCGCAGGCAGGCGCTCCACCGCTGAGCCCCGCCCCGCCCCCCCGGGCGACCCCACAATCCTGTTTGATAAAGAATCTAACATTTGGGAAGGCATCCCGTCCCCGGAGCGCTCCGTGTGGCCACCTGGAAGCCAAGTGGCACACCTGCGTCCTGGCCGGAATCAGAGGCAGGAAGGGAAGGCAGCATCGCGTTCGGAAGGCACAGGGGCTTGCAAGACAAGGCTGACGTGGGGATGCACGTCCCGCGGGCCCTCCGCAAACCGCCGGCGGGCAATCCCTGAAACACACTCAGCAGTCCCAGAAAGCCGGTTTTTAACCGAAATAAAGAGCCATGCGATCGAATCTGTTTACTCACGGTTAACACCCGCCCCCTCGCCCCCCCCCCCCAGCACCCTGGAGGAGTCAGGTGCACGCCCGGGCCTGGCTCCCCCCGGCCCCCCGGCCCCCGGCCCTGCCGCGCTACTCCCGCGCCCCGGGAGCGGGCTCGCCGACCCAGCCACCCGCCGGCCCGCCCGCGCACCTCAGGAAACCCACCGCCGAGCTCTAAGGCCCGCACGGGGCGTGGGGGCGGGGCGGAGCCCCCCCCCCCCCCCCGCCAAGGCTGCAACGCGAGGGCGGGACGGCACACGAGGGGCCCCGCAAAGGCCGGCACGTCCCCCGGGCGACCCGACGACGGCACACGGCGGCACCACCGGCCCGGGCGCAGCCCCCGCCCCCCCCCCCCACGGGCGACGGCGGACGCGGGCCCCACGCCCGCCCGCCCCCGGAGCCCCGAGTCCCCGCTCACCAGGAACTGGAGCATGGCGTCGGCGCGGCGGGCGGCGCAGCTCCGCGGGCGGGTCGGACCCTGCCGCTCCGAGCGAGGGGCGGAACCCGCCGTGCGCTTCCGGGTCACGCCCCGCCCCACCCCGCGCCACGTCACACCCCTCGCGGTGCGCCCCGCCGCGCCGCTCGCGGCGACCTGGCGCCCCCTGCAGGAGCGCCCCGGGATTACCGCCCGAGCTGGGCGCCTCGAGGAGGAGAAGCGCGAAAAGCAAGCCTGACCTGCACATTCCAGGCCCAGCTTCTGCAGACCAGCGTCGGCCTCCGGGATCCGGAGGACCACCAGCACCCCCAGCGATTCCGATGCACAGACGGGGTTAGGGCTCCTTGGCCTGGAAGGGCTGCAGGCGGCGGCAGGTCCCCGCCCGAGGTGCAAAGCGGACTCCTCCGGGGCGCTTCTGCAACATCAACTACCCCGGGCCCCCATGCAGAATCTACGGGGAGGAGGGCTGTACGGCTCAAAAGTGCCCCAGGTGTGCTGTGTAAACTGCAGTGAACACTTTTGATAGGGGACAGGTGCCTAAGTAGGTAAGCTAGAGGCCTTAGGAGTCAGGCGCAGTCTCCTCCAGTTCCTGGCTGCCTTTGCTTCCTGGTGACTTAACCTCTCTCGAGTTTGTTCTCCTTGTCTGTAAATGAGACTGATTCCAGCTCCCTGTTGAACTGTTGTGGGAATCAAAGGAGACAACGTGAGGCGTCAGGGGTGGACAGTGAGCTCTAGAAGACCTCTCTCCATCCCTCTCCACGCAGAGGGACCACCACCTGCTCCTGGTCTTCAACACCCTCAACAGCCTCCACTGACACCCTTAGAAAGCAAGAACACCTTTTCTCCTTGCTCTCAGCCTTCGGAATTCACCCTTACTCCTTACACTAAGTAGAAACTCTGGTTCCAGGCTGCAACAGCCAAAACATATAACCTAAGCCATATGGGAGTCTACTATAAAGGTACAACGGACAACGATGGGGAATAAGGAGGCTACCTGGAATTAAGCAGCATTTTCTCTCCATTTCTGCTTTTTTTTTTTTTCCCTCCACAGATCTGCTTCATTATTCTCATTTTGCCTAATCCCCCCTCTCCCCCCGGCTTCCAGAATATGATCATTGTAACTTTCTGGAGTTTACTCATTAAATGATCCAACAATAGAAAAACCAGATCACTCTTTCCCTACCACTTTCAAATACCTGGGAAAGCAATGCTGATTGGTCAAGTTAGTGTCAGGTGCTCTCTGATCATTGTAACTAGAGGAGTAGGATCTCTTTGAACTAAAGTGACTGCCAAGATGTAAGAGGTACTGGTAGGAGGCTGTAACACACTTCATTTTCCAACATCTCTAGATTAAAATATGACTCGGTTAAATCTTGACTAGTGCTTCTCAAACATTTTTTTTAAGATTTTATTTATTCAAAAAAATAAAAAATTAAAAAAAAGATTTTATTTATTCATTAGAATACACAGGAGAGAGAGAGGCAGAGACACAGGCAGAGGGAGAAGCAGGCTTCAGCAGGGAGACTGACGTGGGACTTGATCCTGGGTCTCCAGGATCACGCCCCAGGCTGAAGGCGGCGCTAAAGCGCTAAGCCACCCAGGCCGCCCCTTCTCAAACTTTTTTTTTTTTAAGATTTTATTTATTTATTCATGATAGACATGGGGGGGGGGCAGAGACAGAAGCAGGCTCCATGCCAGGAGCCTGATGCGGGACTCAATCCTGAGACTCCAGGATCGTGCCCTGGGCCAAAGGCAGGCACCAAACCGCTGAGCCACCCAGGGATTCCCCACCTTCTCAAACTTTAATGTGCATTCAAGTCACCTGGAAATCTTGTTAAACTGTAGATTCTGACTCAGTTGCCTGAGTTGGGGCCTGACATTATGCATTTCTACATTGCTCCCAGGTGATGCTAGCAGCGGCCTGTGAAACATTTTGTGTTGCAAGACACCATACTGTGAGCTACATAAGGATGAGGACTTCATTCCGTTCATGACTCCATCCTCAGTGTCCAGCAAGGACTTGGTGCAGCCTCTGAACCTAATATTTATTGAAGTTCTTGCATAAAACCGTAACCCCTTCTCACAGATAAAGCCTGGAAGGAAGCCTTTTCTTCTAAGGTCTTTCCAAAGGTTCTTTCTCTTATACCCCCAAATAACTACAAGGAGAAGGGGGGCAAAGGGCAGAATTTTTTGCTACTTTTGAGATTACTTAAATGTCCTCAGATGAAAACACTTCAAGATTCATGCCTTCCCCTTATCCCTTCATGATACCTTCATCTATTGACTTCCCAAATGGTCCCCTCATTTACTAAAGGCTTTGGCATCTAACAGCCTTCCTTTCAGCCTTGCCAAGCTATCACAATCATGGGTGACTCCCAAGGCCACATACACTTGTATTTTCCAGAATCCTTACCTCCAGTGACCTTCATCCTCACACCACTTCAGCAATCCACCGTCATGTTCATACTCACACTTCGTCATTTACTGGACCTGCTCCACCTCTTAAGTATTATATTCCCAAATCTTATCCCCGGTTTTACCAATTCTTTAACCTTAGCCAGATCTCCAGTCTCTCAGCTATTGCATATTCTTACAAGCTGTGAGCTCCCCTCTGGCTTCACTCCCTTTCTAGCTAGCTGGTCTAAACTCCACGAGATCTGAACTTCAATCAGCGGAAACAACCAAGATGCCCTTCAGTAGGTAAGTGGATTAAACAAACTGTGGTACATCCAGATAATGGAATATAATTCGGTGCTTAAAAAAAAAAAGGCTATCAAGCCATGAAAACTTGGAAGCTTAAATGCATATTACTAAGTGAAAGAACCTTATCTGAAAAGCCTGCATACCGTATGATCCCAAGTCCATGAAATTCTGGAAAAGGCAAACATAAGGAGACAATAAAAAAGATAATTGCTTATGAGGGTGGGGATTAAGTGGGAATGGAGAAATGAGCAGCAGAGTGCAGAACGTGTTTTTTTTAGGGCAGTGAAAATACTCTATATTATGGTGATGGATATATGCCATACATTTGTCCAAACCCAAAGAATCTGCACCAAGAGTGAACCCTAGGGCTTTGGGCAATTATGATGTGTTAATGTAGGATCATCCCTGGTAAAAACGTACCCCTATGTAATCCAGAGAGACCTTCTTACCCATCATATGTCTCATCCAAGAAGACATGTGTGATAATCATTGCAGCAATGTTTGTAATAGCAAAATACTGGGAATTTAAATGTATGCCAACCCACCAACAGAATGCATAGTCTTTGTAAAATACAATAACTACCACTATTTATGAAAAATGAGTACAAGGAATTATTTTTAAAAAACTATGTTGAACCAAAAAAAGCAAACTGTTCCATAGTATGCTATCATACATATAAATATTAACAACCTATAAAACAAGGGATGGGTTAAATAGGTGATGGGGATTAAGGAGTGCAGTTGTGATGAGCATCAAGTGATGTATGGAAGTGCTGAATTACTATATTGTACACCTGAAATTACTATAACATGCTGTTAACTGGAATTACTTGAAAAAATCCTGTAAAACAATTATTTTTTTAATTATTATTTTTTTAAGATTTATTTATTCCTTCAGAGAGAGCGAAGAGAGAGGCAGAGACACAGGCAGAGAGAGAAACAGGCTCCATGCAGGAAGCCCGATGTGGGACTCAATCCCAGGTCTCCAGGATCACACCCCGGGCTGCAGGTGGCGCTGAACTGCTGTGCCACTGGGGCTGCCCAAAACAATTATTTTTAATGCCTATGAACACACATGTAGTGGAAGCATAAAACATAAATGGTAAATTCAACAATGAATTCTTGACAAAGGTTATCTCTGGGAGGGCAGTAGGGACATTGGGATTAGGGAGTCACAGGAGCCCAAATGTATCTACTATAGATTTCCTTTAAAAAATAATTCTGGAGCAAATATGGCTAATTTTAAGATTTGATTAATTTAACTATATGGTATGAGGGTGGAGTTGGTATCAGCATGTTTATTATATTGATTATATTATTTGTATGATTGAAGCCATACACAATTTAAAAAATTTGAATACATAGTAAAATCAATGGCTGAAAAGGTTTATGGAAACAAATTCAGTCTTAAAGTATCAATCCACAAATTATTCATTACAAGAGGAAAAAAGACAGCTTTTGCAATGGAGAGGTGTGTCAAACACTACCTTAATTGAGCAAACTTAAAATAATGGGATAAACTGATATGTACCTCCTAATATTATATACTGAAGGCATAATATCACCCACAGAATTGCATTCTTGCCAAAAATGTTTAACCTGAATTAGAAAAAACAAAAACCGTGGGACCTTCTCCAAAACAGCTAACATGTCACGTTAAATACCTCTCCCCTGAAAAGGTAGGGGAACCACTTCTGAATCAAGGAAACAAGAGAGAACTAAATGTAATGTGATTCTTGATTTAATTTTGGGTAAAAAAAAAAAAAGTTCTAGAAGTACATTTTGGGGGCAACTGAAATTTGAATACAGACTGAATATTAGAAAATTTTATGGCACTTTATTAGCAAACATCTTACATGTGATAATGGTATTATGATTTGGAAGGAAATACTTGCTGAAATATTATGGATAAAGTGTCATGATGTCTACAATCTACTTTCAAACAGTTAAGGGGAAAAAGCCAGTATATATACACATATAAAAAAGATAAAGCAAATGAGCAAAATGTTAACGGTTGGTGAAGCTACAGGTTCACTGTACTTTTCTTTCAACTCTCGTGAAGAGACATTTTTCAAAATAACTTGGGAAAACAAATATTTAGAAAGGGCTCAATTGTGTATGAATAGCTTTTATAGCTCAAGATAAAATTCAGACATTTTTATACAACACTATTTTATGAAAAATACAATAATAAACTCACCTTTTTTTCTTATCCCACCAAACACAGTAACTCAGCAAAGAGGCTGTATTACGATCCCTTGCTTATTTAGTATTTTTTAGGAATAGATGAACCT